GATATATTTACAAAGTTTTACTTTTATCACAGGACACTAAACCCTTAGAAACAATTTGAAATTGAATACAGATCTCTGGCCCCGAGACCGCAGAGAAATTTTTCTCCCTTGATGAGTTATCCAACCATTTAAAAATCTTATTTTCTTTGATTGTTGATAGGAATGTTGGCTTGGCACAGTCTTTTTACAAACAACTTTTGATGTTTATTGAAAACTCCCAAGTATGAATTTCAACAAGTTAACAAAGGGTCCTAAGTTTTCCCATCCAGCCATAAGTAACAGCTGACGTTCAAGTTATTACATGTCATCTCTTGCCTATCTTTTTATATCACACCAACTTTCAATTAACCATTGTGGGTTTTGACCACACTTGCTAGGAAATAACTATTTAAATATGTCCTTCCCCTAAAACATTTCTAATGGGATTCCCCTGGCAAAGGTAGATGGGATTTTTAAAACTGGAGCTGTACTAGAAACAGAATTGTTTTTGGTAATTGCTGATGAGTTTCTTGGCTAGCATACATGCAGTTAATATGACAATTCTAAGAATGGATGGCAGAAGAAAAGGGTGAAAGATGGTTGTCCTGCAAAAACAGGCTGTCCGGCTTCAGCAGGAGTTATTTTCTACTTAGTTGCCTTTCTCTACTGTTTTCTTCTTACTGTTTCAGCGCTGAGATTCTGCCAAGAATATGAACTAAATACAATATGAAAGGAAAAGGAAAACATGAAGATAAAACTTCCAAAAATGACATTACAGAGAAGAATAAAGTTTTCTTTCTTCCTTAAAAATGTTCTCTGAAATACTATCTTTAAATAAAAGCCATGGAGTTGAATATCCCAGCATCTTAAAATAACACTCTAGGTAACAGCTCATATTTATGGGCATACCTCGTTTTATTGTGCTTTCCTTTACTGCACTTCACAGATTTTTTTTTTTTTATTTTTGTTTACAAATGGAACGTTTGTGGCAACCCTGCATCCAGCAAGACTGTTGGCAGCATTTTTCCGGCAGCCTGTGCTCATTTCATGCCTCTGTGTCATATTTTGGTAAATCTCACAATATTTCACACTTTTAAGTTATTATTATATCTGTTATGGTGATCTGTAATCAGTGATCTTTGATGTTAATATTGTAATTGTTTTGAAGTGCCATGAACCACTCCCACAGAAGACAGTGAACCTAATCAATAAATATGTGTGTGTGTGTGTGTGTGTGCGCGCGCGCGCACGCTCGTGTTCTGACTGCTCCACTGACCAGCGTTCCCCCATCTCTCGTCCTCTTATTGAGCCTCCCTATTCTTGGGAACACGATATTGAAATTAGGCCAATTAGTAACCCTATAATGGCACCTAAGTGTTCAAATGAAAGGAAGAGTCGCACGCCTCTCACTTTAAATCAAAAACTAGAAATGATTAAGCTTAATGAGGAAGGCTTGCCAAAAGCTGAGATAGGCTGAAAGCTAGGCCTCTTATGACAGTTAGCCAAGTTGTAAATGCAACGGAAAAGTTCTTGAAGGAAGTTAAAAGTGCTACTCCAGTGAATTCATGAATTATAAGTGAAACAGCCTTATTGCTAATATGGAGAAAGTTTAAGTGGTCTGAACAGAAGATCAAAACAGCCACAACCTTCCCTTAAGCCAAAGCCTAATCCAGGGCAAGGCCCTAACCCCCTTCAACTTTATGAAAGCTGAGAGAGGTAAGGAAGCTGCCAAAGAAAAGTATGACGCTAGCAGAGGTCGGATCACAAGGTGTAAGGAAAGAGATTGCTCTGTACCACAAAAATACAAGGTGAAGGAGCAAGGGCTGATGTAGAAGTCACAGCAAGTTATCTAGAAGATCGAGCTAAGATCATTAATAAAAGTAACTATACTAAACAACAGATTATCTATACACAAAACAGACTCATATAGGAAGAAGATGCCATTTGGACTTCACAGAGAAGTCAATGCTTGGCTTCAAAGGAGAGGCTAACTCTCTCGTTAGGGGCTAATGCAGTGGCTGACTTTACACTGAAGCCAGTGCTCACTTACCATTCCACAAACACTAGGGCTCCTAAGAATTGTGCTAAATTTTCTCAGGGTATTGATAAAGAAAAAAAAAGAATTTTGCTGAACCTACTTTACATGTACTCTAGAAACAGAACAACAAAGCCTGAATGACCACATATCTGTTCACAGTATGGTTTACTTAATTTTTAAGCCACTGTTAAGAACTACTGCTCAGAAAAAAGATGTCTTTCAAAATATTATTGCTCATTGACAATTCACCTAGAACTCTGATGTACAAGGATACTAATACTGTTTTCATACCTGCTAACACAATATCCATCTGCAGCCCACGGAAGGAAGAGTCATTTCAGCTTTCAAGACTTCTTATTTAAAAAATGCATTTTATAAGGCTATAGACGCCATAGATAGTGATTCCTCTGATGGATCTGGACAAATTGAAAACTTTCCATAAAAATTCACCAATCAGAAAGCTATTTGTCACCCATGAGAAGAGTTCAAAATATCAACATTAACAGGAGTTTGAAAGAAGTTGACTCCAACTCTCATGGATGACTTTGAGGGGTTCAAGACTTCATGGGAGGAAGTAACCACAGATGTGGTAGAAATAACAAGAACACTAGAATTAGAAGTGGACCCTAAGATGTGACTGAATTGCTGTAATCTCATGATGTAACTTGAACAGGTGAGAGCAAAGAATAGTTTCTTTAGATGGAATCTACTCTTGGAGAAGATGCTGGAAACATTGTTGAAATGGCAACAAAGGATAAACTTAGTTGACAAAGCTGCAGCAGAGTTTCAGAGGATCAATTCCAATTTTGAATGAACTCCTACTGTGGGTAAAAGGCTGTTAAGCAGGAGCAAATACTACATAGAAATCTTTTGTGGAAGGAAGGATCAATCAATGTGGCAAACTTCATTGTTGTCTTATTTTAAGAAACCACTATACCTACCCTGACCATAAGCCACCACGAACATTGAGGCAAGACTCTACACCAGCAAAATGATTATGTCTTTGATTTGCTGAAGGTTCAGATAATCATTAGTATTTTTTAGCAATAAAGTATTTCTAAATTAAGGTATATACATTCTTACACATAATGTATTGCACACTTAATAGCCCACAGTACAATGTAAACATAACTTTTATATTCTAGGAAACCATACATTTGTGTGACGTGTTTTATTTGCAATGTTGTTTTATTGTGGTAGTCTGGAACTGAACCCACATTTTCGAGCTATGCCTGTATTGAGCTATTACGAAGTGCCAGACACTGTGCTAAATGCTTTATATGTATTACTTTACCTAATCCACATAGAAACCCTATGAAGAAGGTATTTTTATCACCTTCATTATGAAGATAAGAGACGGGTTTAAAGGACCTTAATGTATGGACATTCATCACCCTGATTTAGTCATTTTAGACCTTTTACTGGAAGGGCTCTGAGACTCCAAATGCACCTGTTATTTTTCCACCTAGTGAACATTAGCACCTATAAGTGTAATCAGAATGGGGAAGGAGGTTGGTTATAGTATTTTTCAACTTTTAAAACAGTTTCTTCAGTAATTCTGCTTCTAGGCATATACCCTAGAGAAACTCTCCTGCATGAGCCAGAAAATACATGTATGCTCATTTACATAGCATTCAAAATGAATAAACTAAATTTCCATGTATCAACATAGGTAGATCTTGAAAATAGTGTTGAGTTTTGCTGTTGTTGTTGTTGTTTAAAAAAGAAAGGCTATAACATGATGCATTCAGTATAAAATCATTTAGGTAAAATTTTGCTTAGTAAAACTATTTAAAACATAAAACAATAGAATAACTTATTTGTGAATTTGTACTTATGTTATAAAAGTGTAAAAATATGAACCAGACAGGCCAGGCACAGTGGCTCACACCTGTAATCCCAGCACTTTGAGAGGCCGAGGCAGTTGGATCACCTGAGGTCAGGAGTTTGAGACCAGCCTGGCCAACATGGTGAAACCCTGTCTCTACTAAACATACAAAAATTAGCTGGGCGTAGTGGCAGGTGCCTGTAGTCCCAGCTACTGGGGAGGCTGAGGCAGGAGAATTTATTGAACCCAGGAGGTAGAGGTTGCAGTGAGCCAAGACTGCACCATTGCACTCCAGCCTGGGCAACAAGAGTGAAATTCCATCTCAAAAAAAAAAAAGGCTGAGTGCAGTGGCTCACGCCTATAATCCCAGCACTTTGGGAGGCTCAGGTGGGTGGATCATCTGAGGTCAGGAGTTCGAGACCAGCCTGGTCAACATAGTGAAACCTCGTCTCTACTAAAAATACAAAAATTAGCTGGGCGTGGTGGCGGGCAGCTGTAATCCCAGCTACTCAGGAGGCTGGGGCAGGAGAATCACTTGAACCTAGGAGGCAGAGGTTGCGATGAGATGAGATTGTGCCATTGCACTCCAGCCTGGGTGACAGCCAGATTCTGCCTCAAAAAACAGAAAGTGAACCAGATAGTTAAAACTTCAGGATAACAGTTACCTGAGGGAAGAAAGGAATGTTGCTGCAGGGGAAAGTGCAAAGTAGGCCTCAATTCCATTTCTATGTCTCATTTCTCTTGTTTTAAATAATATGAATATGAGAAAAGTTAACATTTATTCTTACAGGGTCTACATGGATGTATTACCTTATTTTCCAAAAGCTTTTATATTTAAAAAATACTTCCATCCTAAGAAAAATACATATTCTTGCTAAAAAAAGAGCAGGAATCACCACATAAAACATAATCTCACTAAAATTTTAGGTTACAAAATTTTTTTGAAGTAGGCTTAACTATAAGCCCAATTTATCCATAAAGTAACTTACTAAGCCATCCATAGAATGTCTATCTTTGAGTCTTGGAAATTCAATGTGTCCTCCAAAACAAACTAGTTGTAAAATATGTTCATCAGTAATTTGATTAAGGTGAATTTCTTTATTCAGCTTTACATTAGCTGCAAACCACAGGGTGCCAGTCCGAATAACCTCTCACCATATTATCCAGGGCAGCAGGAAGAACAACTGCCTGGGGATTGCTCTGGGCTGCATGCTTCTGGCCACAATTCCTCCTCGTGGGTCACTGTTACCATCTGGACTGTGCATTCCCAAATCTGATTCCTCCAGCCATCACTCTTCCTCTCCCTTTCTCCATTTCCAACAGCATAGGATTTCACTTTGGGGGTAAACAACCATGAATGCTATCAAATTAGACTATGTAAATCTGGGAGTGAGTGTTCTTTGTTGCATTATTGGGTATCAAGGTTCTGGGTCATATCTAAAAGTATTCCAGCTTGAAAATTAATTTAATCTCTTGTTTGTTTGCTTTTGTTTGCAATCATTTCACTCTCTAGGTAATAATGTAGTTGAGGAATGCTATGCCAGCATTATTTGAAGTGCTACTCATTGCTTACAATTATATTTCCTAAGTGTGGAAATTATTCTGTCTATACATTTAAATATAATCCTGTTCAGTTATATAACAATCAGTACCCATTTTTTTGTGGGCATGTATTCATACACATTTTTTTTTTATATTTGCCGTGTTTCAAAATTGATAAAAAGACGGGCTACAAATATACATAAAATAAAGCACCAGAAAACTTCAGTCTGAAGGCATGAAGAAATGAGGACACAGAATGTAAGCAAAGAGTGAGTTAAATATATAAAATACATCCTGTTAAATATTATACACAGACCGGAAGGAGACCACATATAAGGCTCTAAGCTTTCTCACAGCCAAGGGAAATACTGTCAGTTCCACAATTAGGTTTCCAGAAGACAAAAACAAATGGGGATAATAAACAAGGGAAACACAACTATACCAGGTGCTAAAAACCAAAGAAAAATATTTTCCAGATATTGTTAGAGAGAGTAAATATGGCAACAATTTCATGGCTCCTAGAAATCCCTTAATGAGGCCTAAACAATCCACAATGGATTGTTTAAAGAAATCTGAGGGGAGGACAGAGCCATAGCATGGAGTCAGGGGCAGAGGGTGAGGAGGGGTAGTCTAGGCCTTATCCAGGGGCTAAAATGTCACAACAGTTGCTCTTGACATGAGGTTCATTACCAGGGTGACCATGCAATTTATTGTCTAACCCAGGACCCTTTGAGAATGAAAGAGGGTACTATTAATAATCAGGCCCCCACAATAGGTATAAGGTATGACTGTCCTGGGCAAACTGCCACATATAGTCACTTTAAGTCATTGCTCATCACCTGCTGGCATCCTGCCCCAGCACATCCTGCCACTATAGACCTGGTGAGCCAACCTCATCCTGTCAAACATGGAGTGAGTCAAGCTCAATTTGTAGGGGGCTCTGGGGGATTCTAGTCCAGGTCATCAGCACAGTGTGGGCTTGCCTGTGAGTCAGTCAGACAGGGAAGGGAACCAAGAAAGACTGGAGTAGGCAAATGGGAACAGTCGCCCGAGGATCCATCAAAAAGAGGTCTGGGCATATGTCAGGAGAATGGGTGAAAGGGGAAATAAAGAATATTATAAGTAATTGCATTAGGTTCCATGAAGAGGAAAGAAACAATTTCCTTTCCCTCTGGCACTCTCTCAAGGGCCCCATGAGAGATCTAGTGGAAGAAAACTTCCTAAAGTTGGGATATTATCATAATGGCTGAAACAATTATGCTGTGGTTCTCAAACATGTGATATGAATTACCAGGAGAGTTTGTGGAAAACTAGATTCTAGCACTCCAACCCCACTGATAATGATTCTATTAGTCTGAGATGAAACTCAGAAATCTATTTTAACAAGCGAGATTAGTCAGGCATGGTAGCACATACCTATAGTCCCAGCCACTCAGGTGGCTGAGGTGGAAGTATCGCTTGAGCCCAGGAGGTCAAGGTGTGATCACATTGCACCACTGCACTCCCACCTGGGCAACAGAGTGAGACTGTGTCTGAAAAAAAAAAAAGAAATTGTACCAATTACTCTGCTGGGAAAGAAACAGAACCAATTTGGAAATCAGTATATTTAGTCACATAGGACAAGAAGGAGAGTCAAGAAGTAGGACATTCCAATGATCAATTGCACCACATGAGAATCTCCCAAGCCTTCCTGGACAAGGCCCACGACTGCCTTCCCTAGCCAGGCAAAATAATGGTGGAGGAAGTTCCCAAGCTCCCATTCATTCCTAGTTGCATTTTTTTTTTGCCAGTGAAACAAAGGCCAAGCTTCTTGCCTCTGATGTCCTGAAGAAGAATTAATGGTACCCTGTCCTGTGTTTATATCATATGTACTTTATTGGCCCTTATATTAGAGTGATTATATATATATATGTATTTTTTTTTTTTCTTTTTTTTCTTGGACACAGAGTCTTGCTCTGTCACCCAGGCTGGAGTGCACTGGTGTGATCTCGGCTCATTGCAACCTACACCTCCCAGGCTCAAGTCATCCTTTCACCTTACCCTAATGAGTAGCTGGGACTACAGGCGTTCGCCACCATGCCAGGCTAATTTTTATATTTTTTGTAGAGATGGGTTTTGTCATGTTGCCTAGGCTCAAATGATCTGCCTGCCTCAGCCTCCCAAAGTAATGGGATTACAGGCGTGTGCAACCGCACTAACTTAGAGTGATTATCTCTGTGTTGGTTTCCATGGCAAGTTTACAAGCTGCTCAAGGGCAGAGACAATACCATATTGGTGTCTTGCAGCATCTAGGGTAGGCGTGTCATGTGCATCGCTAAGTTTCTTTGCCTGCTTCCTTCTTCTCTCCCTAGGTGTCAGGCATTAAGCTCTCTGCCTTCAAAGTTTAGTGGAAAGGCCTACAAATAATGAAGTGCTTTATGTAGAAAATCATAGAGGTAAGCACAGTTGCTGTGGAGCTAGAGAACATGAGCTTGATATAGCCTGTCAGAACCAGTGAGAGTTGATAAACATGAGCCAGGCAGAGGAGAAGCGAGGGGGCATTCTAGGCATAGTAGCATCTACAAAGCTAGATAGCACCTACAAAGAGAAAGAGTTAGCAGGGTGTGTGAAAGAAAGAAGAGAAGGAAGAGAAGAAAGGATGGGGGAATTTGTGGTACTGTGAGTAGCTTACTGTGGCTAAAGAAATGTTCACTTGAGTGGCTGACGATAGGGTTAAGAGAAGAGCATGAGCTCAGGAGGCAACCTGCTGGATGACCCAAATCCCAGCTCTGCCACTTAGCTATGTAACTTTCAGCAAATTACTTAAACTCTCCTTCCTCAGATCCTAATTTGGGACCTGTAGGGCCTCTTTATGATAAACTCAGTGGCTTAATACCTATAAAGCAATTAGAATAGTGCCTGTCATGTAGTATGTACTCAAAGAGTAGTTCTCGGCTGGGCACGGTGGCTCACGCCTGTAATCCTAGCACTTTGAAAGGCTGAGGTGGGCAGATCACTTGAGCCCAGGAGTTTGAGACCCACCCGAGCAACGTGGCAAAACTTCATCTCTACAAAAATATAAAAATTAGCCAGGCACGGTGGCATGTGCATGAAGTCCCAGCTACTCAGGAGGCTGAGGTGGAAAGATCACTTGAGTGCCGGAGGTGGAAGTTACAATGAGATGAGATCGAGCCATTGGGTGACAGTGAGACCCTGTCTCAAAAAATAAAAAAGATTTTAAAAGTTCTCTTGCTCTTACTTGCCACTTTTATTCCATTCCATGAAAGTTCCACTGATTATATCTCTAAAACAAATACCAAAACCATCCACTTCTGTCTCCATACTCTCCACCCTGGTTCAAAGAACTAAGATATCTTTATTGGATTCCTGGAGTAGCCTCTTAACTGGTCTCCCTACTTCCACTCTTGCTCTGCTTTAATCTCATCCACAGAACAGCATGAGTGATCATTATCAAAGACAAATCAGACGTCACACTACTTAAACACCTATTATCTCATCCCACTTCATACCAATCATTTAGAACTCTCCTTACCATACCTGAAAAGGTATTAAATAATCTGGCTCCCTCCTACTTTTCTGACCACCTCCCAACACCCACATCCTACTCCCCTCCCTTTTACTATGTTCAGCCTCTAGCTACCTTGAATTTGACAAATGTTTCTGGCTAAGACCTTTGCATCTGCTGCTCCTCTGTCTTCCTCACCTCTTAACTAGTTTGCCTCCTTCTTGTCTTATAGAACCCAGCTCAAATGTCAGAAGAATTGAAGTTTGAGAGACAAAACTAAAGTTACAGCTTCTCTGGTTTCTGTTATTCTGGTAAATGTATCTCCTTTTCTATATTTTTTCTTCTTCATTCCTCACCCGCTATGTAGTAAGCACCATGCTAATGGATATAGGCTTTTTCATTGCTTTAGTCTCATTGCCTGTAACAGCAAACACTCCATCCCCAACACAGTAAGCACTCAAATATTTATCGAATTGCTGTTAAATGAATTAGGAGAGGAGGGAAATAAAAGAAAATGCTGCCAAAATTAAGGCACCTGGGGCCAATTAGGCTTTTGTGGTACTCTAGTGAGAAATGATAAGCTCTGAGCAGTGGTTTCCAACCTTGGTTGTGCATTGGAATTACCTAAGAGTTTTTGTTGTTGTTGTTTAGATGGAGTCTCGCTCTACAGCCCAAGCTGGAGTTCAGTGGCACAATCTCAGCTCACTGCAACCTCTACCTCCCAGGTTCAAGTAACTCATGCCTCACCCTCCTAAGTAGCTGGAATTACAGGCATGTGCCACGGTGCCCAGCTCATTTTTGTATTTTTGTAGATGTTGCCCACCTTCGTCTCAAACTCCTGTCCTCAAGTGATCCACCCACCTCAGCCTCCCAAAGTGCTGGGATTACTTTTCAAGCCACTGCACCCAGTTTTCTTTTTTCTTTTCTTTCTCTCCCTCCCTTTCTCTTTCCCTTCCTTTGTTCTTTCTTGGGACAGGGTTTCACTCTGTCATCCAGGCTGGAGGGCAGTGGCGTGACCAGGGCCCACTGACAACTTTACCTCCCAAGGCTCTGCAGATGATCCTCCTGCCTCAGCCCCTGGAGTATGTGGGACTACAGACATTGGCAACTACGCCAGGCTAATTTTTGTATTTTTGCCATTTTGCTCAGGCTGGTCTTGAACTCCTGGTCTCAAGTGATCCAACTACCTCCACTTCTGTGAGTGCTAGAACTACAGGTGTGAGCCACCATGCCCGGCACACCTGGGGAGTTTTAAAAACGACTGACACCTGAGCACCACCCTCAGTGATTCTGATTTAATTGGTGGGTGCAGTGTGGACATAAGAATTTTTTAAACCTTCCCACAGGATTCCAATATGCAGCCAAAGTTGAAAACACTGCTCTAAAAGCAGAGAGAGATATGGAAGAGAGAGCACAGGACTTGGTGGTTAGTTATCAAAATTGGAAGGGACAGAAAGGATGGGGCCTGGGAAGACGCCTAGATTTCTGGCTTGTGTCTGGGTGAAAGAAGCATGCTTTGAGAAAAGAATAAACTACATCTTGGACAGCCTGAGTTTGAGGTGCCTCTAGGAATTCAAGTCGGAGATGTTCAATAGGTATTTGCTTCTTAATAGATTTATTTACTCTAGTGAAGAATAGAAAGTCCTTCTTTCAGGAAGACAAGAAAGCCAGACCAGCATCTCTGGAAAATACAACCGTACAGAGTGTAAGACCATTTTCATTCGGCACAGCCTCTTTATTCAAAACCCCCTTTCCAGCCAATGCTCTGTCTGTGTTGAGATGTTAACATGTTGATATATTTTCAAGAAGGGTATGATGTATGGGTACTTAACTTATTATTCTTGTGCTATCTGCAGGCTTAAAGTATCCCATATATAAAATCGCTGGCAGCCTTTAAGTAGCATTTAAAGGTATAACAGCTTTAAAACGTCCCATAAAGGAAAATAAACATAGCCATAATTACTTCCTTTAAGATTCGAGGTCAAAGACACTTAAACCTAAACTGCTCAGCTTGTTCCATTTTCTAATTGGTAAACATTTACTGGGTTACCAAAGATACCAAGTGCATTCTGAAAGACCATGTCTCCTTGGTTTGTTTCTAATTTAAATTACACAGACACACTAAACAAGGACTGAGAGAGTGATATATTTAGTTAAGTAACAGATGGCAAATGGACATTCTGTCCAGCCTCTATCACATTCGTTTCTCAGTATTCCACGGAAAAGTGATCTAAATCTTGAAGAGAAATAAACCAGGAGGAAATGCACCAGGCCCAGACTAAATCTGTTTATTCGACTAAGAAGAATTTATACCAAGACTAGTGTAGATGAAAACATTCAAAGGGGATATGACTGGCTGAAAAGATACAAGAGGAAGGAAGAAATAAAGCTAGATTCAAGTAATTCGGAATGTATTAGAGATGAAACAGGAATTCTGATTATGTGACTGCAAAACAGCACATACATACGCAAAAAGAAACAACAGAGGTGAGTGGAAGATACTTTCCAAACCCTTACGTAGGCTTGCTATTGTGGCTAAGTACTGCTCCCGACAGCCTCCGCAAAGACTGAGGTCCAGTAAGACGAAGAGGGCGGCTGCAAACGCACGGGGGGCTGCCTCCCTCTCGGAAAGGATACTTCCTCGCCGAGAGCTGCAACATCCCGGCGCTTCTCTCCCGTGGCCCGCCGATCCAGCAGGTGAATCCCGAGAATGATGAATAATGGATGAATAATGCCCTGCAAACCGCCAAGAGCCAGGGGTCGCCGAGTCCGGCAACTCCCTTCAATCAGGCGCCGCTCCAGCCACCCCGACCTGTCCTGGGAGGAGACGCTCTCGGGGCCACGGAGAGGCGGGCAGAGAAACACTGGCCCCAGCGCCCGGCGCACTCAAGGCGAAGTCCCCCGAGCCAGGCACAGGCGTGGGGGGCCGCAGTAGGGGCCGCTCGGGTGCAGCGGGGCGGCTCCCGCGCGGGAACAAACGCGCGTGAGGAAACGACCTCGTTTCGAGTCACCCGCAGCGGGCACGGTGGGCGTGACGTCATGACGCAGAGCACGCGGGCGGCGCGCCGGGGCGGGGCGGGGCGGCAGGGGGCGGGAGGAAGGAGTGGGAGGAGGAAGCGGGGAAAGCGGGGGCTGCGGGAGGGGGAGTTGGCAGTTGCGGCGCTGGTTCCCGGGAGCAGTCGTGGAGCCACAACTGCAGAGGAGGAGTTCGGGAAAGCGGCCGTCAGGACCCCTCCCCTCCGTCGTCGCCGCCCCGGTACAGAGGCGCCTGGGCGCGTCGGAGGGACCCTCCCCCGCGCTTCCTCGGGCTGCTGTCGCCGCTGCTGGGAGATGGGCCTGCTCGCCCTCCGCCCTTCGCCGCAGCTCTGAGGACTTAAAGGTACAGGCGGGCACCGGAGGAGCTTGCGCCCCGGAGCGGGAGGGCAGGGGCGGCTCCCGCTTGCGACCCGGGGAGCTCTGGCCCGGCCGTAGCCCTTGCGCGTATCCCTGGGACAGAAATGGATTCGGAAGTCCTGTGGCAAAGGCGCCCCCTCCCGTGTCCAACGGGAGCCGGGGGCCGGGGCAGGCTTAGGGGGTAAGGCCTCGGGCTGCTCCGGGTCCCCTACCGGGCCCAGGCGCGGGCGTCTCCCGGGCAGCGGGGGCCGAGGCGGAGCGTGGGATCCGCCCCAAGCCCAGTCCTCCTGGCCCCGGGCGTCTGCGGCCGGCGGCCTGCCCGGAGATACTGTGACGGGCCGACGCGGCGCTTCCCTCGAGCTGTCCCCCGCCGCCCCTGAAGCGGGGACACGCGAGGGCGTCTGCCGCGGGGAGGCGGCGGGGCGGAACGCATTCCTGACGGGTGAAATCGGCTCTAACGGGACCGATTTCCGGGCCTCGCTGCAAATTCGGAGCCGGGACGTCGCCCCACAAGCCTTGCTGCCTGGGGCCCTAGGGAGGGGAGCTGTGTTCCGGGGAAGGTTCCCGGGACTGCTACCAGCTCCTTCGAAAGCGAAAATTACATACCACACCAAAATGATGTAGCCTTGGGGTGAAATATGTGTTAACGGGGGTCTTCCGGGATTGTCTCCCTATGCTAAGCCTTTAAGGTGTTGCCAGCCCTCGTCCAGCAAGTAATGCTGCTACTTTGAATTTTCAGTTTTTCCTCTCTGGGTTCCACTCTGGGTTGCTCTTTTTTTTTTTTTTTTTTCTTCCCATTTCCATTAATGGGAAGAAGAAAAAGGAGGTTTAGGGTTCATTAACCCCGCGACAAGGGCAGTAAATAAAAAGAAGGAAGAGTGGTTAAGGCTATATATGGGAGAGAAAAAGATTTAATTTTTTCCCATTGGCCCTTGGAAATGTAAATACAGGAACGATGCTTTACTCTGCTTAATGTTTACTATCCACAGTGTTGCAGAATGTTCTGTTGGAGTGACGTTAGAAAAGACAGTGTTTAAGTGCCGCTGCGATTTTCAAACCTAGGTGTTGGCCAGAAGTGGTAGTTTTAAGTGTTAGTAAACCGTGGAGGCATAAGCAGTCCCTTGCCTTAAATTGTTAGTGATACTTACATTCCACCCCCCCCCCCGTTTTTTTTAAAGAACATGGCTGTTTTTTCATTATTTTTGTCTGTTCTTATTTTAACCTAGATTCATTGACCCTTTTGGTTGTTTGAAGTCTGACCGTTTGCCTCAGTTTTATTTTCAGTTTTGCCGTTCTGTTTATAATGCAAGCCATTACCGTATTTGCCTGTTTATGCTGCTGTTCACGGGGACTGAACTGTCTGAATTGAGTTAAAATGTAAATACTTCTCTGTTTAGAAAATGGCGATGATCGTATTTTCAAATGTTCTTTCCCTGTTACAGTTCCTTGGTAAAGACTTAGAATTAAGTCTTGGGACTTAGTAAACCAAATTATGTCAAAAAACACTTAAAATTGGTTAGTTTAATGCCCTGCTTCTTAATGTTCTGTTTAAATTACTGCATACAATTTAACTGAAGTTTACATTTTATGTGTCCATGGAAAATATTTTAATGTCATCGCAAGGTGTCTTTTTGAGGAAAAAATTACAGTTGGCAACTATTAGTGTTTTGTTTTTTTTTTTCACTCTCTCAGCTTCCAAGAGATCAGTAAGGTTAATTTTTAAAACCACAACATTAAAATTATTTCTTCCTCTTCTCCAACACACAGTTTGTTGTTGTTGTTTTTAATCTACAGGGCACACATGGTTGAGATATGTAGTTTTCTGAAATTTCCAAGTGGGGGAAAGAAGACAAAATATTTGTGATAACATGTAAAAGTCCCTAGTCAAGTGCTGGGCATAGAGTGAGTGGAGGTAAATTTTGTTATATTAATATTTACATCTGAATTGGTCACTTATATCTTCTTCAGTTATATAGGAAATCTTAAGCAGTTGTTATTTGTTTTGCTAATGTCATTAACAAGTGGAAATTGACTGTCAAATGCAGGCTGGTTTTGTACTGAACTAATAAGCTTATGCTCTTTTAACATTCTTCACCAAGATAAAAATTAGGCCACCTTGGGCGAAAGGCCAAAGTAAAGTTAAATTTCTAAATTTATATTTGATTGCAGATTGCATTGTATTTGGCAAACTAACGCATCATAGGAAAATAGTAGTTTAATTTAGATTGTCTGAAAGGACCCATATATATAGTACTTAGGCTTAAAAGCTGGTTATCAAAATGTTCATCCTACTACTTATTAGAATAGCTAAATTTTTCTTAGGAATTTTTTTTCTCCAACTAAGAGTAATTATGAATTTTCTTAAGTCATGCCATTTCTTTGTTAGCAGGCAGAAGATGCCTAACATTGAAAACTTAACCATACCTGCACAGCTAAAGACTGAGGGATAGTATTTCTTTGCTTAACATATCTGTATTTCAGATGGTGGTAGACTTCAACCAGTCAGTGAAATCACTTTGGGTGTTTAAAACTTGTTTATTTCATTTGTTTCTCAAAAGCTATCATGTATCAGTGATACTTTCTATATCAAAGTGGAAAAAAGTAGCACTTTTTGATAAAATAGGTTTTGTTTGCATTGCTCTGTGGCTGTCATTAACACCTGAAGAATTATTTTTATTGGTAACATTTTTTGAAAGGTGCTCTATTAGGCGTAAAACCATTATATAGTCTTGTCCTATTGATGTTATGTAGAATTTTATTTTATAAATCATTTACTAGAGAATTACTGTTAATTTGTTTTAGGAGTCTTGTTTGGGAAGGTTTTGTTACATGAAACTCTCAGTATGACAGAAGTGATTAGTTGTTTTAGCTCTCAAATAAGTTTGTGGGCTGGGTACGGTGGCTCACGCCTGTAATCCCAGCACTTTGGGAGGCCGAGGCAGGTGGATCATGAGGTCAAGAGATCGAGACCATCCTGGTCAACATGGTGAAACCCTGTCTCTACTAAAAATACAAAAAATTAGCTGGGCACGGTGGTGCGTGCCTGTAGTCCCAGCTACTCAGGAAGCTGAGGCAGGAGAATTGCCTGAACCCAAGTGGAGGTTGTGGTGAGCCGAGATCGCGCCCTTGCACTCCAGCCTGGGTAACGAGTGAAACTCCATCTAAAAAAAAAAAATAAGTTTGTGCATTGAATTCTGAAGCAAAATCTTGCTCAGAAATCACCTTAGTTTGTTTAAGCCCAAAGGAAGCTTCAAAACTGAGTCTTTGGTCCAAAAACCTGGAGTTGGCCCCCTAAAATTGTGTATACTTAACATTTTTAACTTCTGTCCTGTTGGGGAGACCCCTGAGGGTAAAAGTAGTACTTAGATTTGAATAGCAGGCAGGTTGCCAATTGAAGAGACTCTGGTAGAAGTGAGCCATAAGGAGAGAGCCAGAGTTGTTAAAAGGAAGGAGCAAGAAACCAGGAGAAGCTGTTGGGAATGTGATGATATTCCCAACTTCCAGGTAAATATTATATAGCATATTAATATAAATACTGTATAAACTCATTAGCATGAATCTATTGACTTATATTTTGTGATTTCGAAGTCAAGTGTTGGTATTTGCCCCTGAACATGGTAAAAGGTATCCTAAATTTATTATGCATAATCACAAATGAGACAATGTGTGAAATGTGCAAAAGTGTAGGAAATAATGCAAGCTCTGTGATGGCAGGGACCATTTTCTTTGTTTACTCTTCAAGTCTCAGCACTTAGCATAAGCCTAATTGTATAATAAAAGATGTGGAATAGATATTTGCTAATAGAATTAATAAATTATTTATTTTGCAACTATCTCTTCAGCAGTGTTGTCCAATAGAAATACAATTGGAACCACAAATGTAATTTAAAATTTTCTAGTGCCATGTTAAAGAAGTAAAAAGAAACAGGCAAAATTAGTTATCGTAATGCGTTTAATCCAGTAGATCCAAAAGATTATCATGAGTGACTTTACATACTTTTATTCATATTGGACAATGCAGCTCTAGGGGCCTTTTTTATGACATGTTCCTCTACGGAACTTCTTTGTCTTTTTGGTAGTCTTTTTCTAACTGATTGACATGTCTTTTGAGGCCAGATACAGAATTGGATACACCTTCGAATTGGAGTTACTGGGTTGGATTGAAAATCAGGCTGTCTTCTCCCAGTTTTACAACTCCCCAATAAATGAGTAGGTGCTTCACTGTCTTTCCTCGTATATAAAATAAGGATACCTATAATCCCAGCACTTTGGGAGGCCAAGGCAGGAAGATCATTTGAGGTTGGGCGAGACTAGCCTTACCAACATGGTGAAACCCTCTCTCTACTAAAAATACAAAAATTAGCCAGGCTTGGTGACAGGCACCGGTCATCCCAGCTACTAGGGAGGCTGAGAGGCAGGAGAATCGCTTGAACTCGGGAGGCAGAGGTTGCCGTGAGCTGAGATCACACCACTGCACTCCAGCCTGGGCAACAGAGCGAGACACCATCTATAAAATAAAATAAAGGAGGATGTTCTAACATCGATTTCATTGGATTAGTATAAATTAATTATACCTTTGAAACACTGGGCTGCTCAGACAACACTGTTACAAAAGAGGTCTTTTGATTATTAGAGGGACGCTCAGTGTAAAAACAGGGT